TATTTGGTCAGAAACAGAGAAACTAGATAATCAGAGTTCCCTACAGCTGAGTGGTCACACCAAGACTGAAGATGATATGACATAAAAATTACTATGCATGATAAAGAGAAAGCCATAAGTTTGCATTTATAAACTCAAGCTTCTGGTAAGTGATTCAGCAGTGTATGTCTTACCTGCCTCAACCCAAACTATTTGCCACATCCTAAGAAGATGTGGTCAGAAGGTTCACACATGAGACCTGAGAGAGATGAGGCGGAGAGTTTGTCACTCTAGAAGGTGAAGATGTGAGTTCCACCTTCCAGTTTGTAGAAACTAATGACTTTTAAGAATGGAGGTGACCTTGGTGGGCAATATCCACAATCTCCAGTTTTCAGCACAAAATTACAAAGGAAACAAAGAAAGAGTAATTGTCATGTAGGAGACAACTTATGTGAAATATTTTTAAGAGATCTTAGATGATATAGAGTTCACAAAGGTTTTTAGTTTCTTTTTTCTCTTTCTTTTTTGGTCTTTGAGACAGTTTCTCTGTGTAGTCCTGACTATCCTAGAACTCACTCTGTAGACCAGGCTTACCTGAACTCTCAGAGATCCGCCTGCCTCTGCCTCCCAAGTGCTGGGATTAAAGGTGTGTGCCACCACTGCCCATCAGTTTTTAGTTTTTAAAAGTATTCAGAGCTGAGGGAAACTTTGAACAGAAGGGAATCAGTAACAAATATGAAAAAGTAGAAAATGTTTATAAACACGTTGAAGTTTTAACCCTGAAAAAGACAATAATTAAGATGGAAGCTTTACCAATGGGATTCAACAACAAATTCAAGCAGAGGGAGAAATCAGTGAAATTCATGCTGGAGTCGTGGCTCAGCAGCTAAGTACACTTGCTGTTACTGCTCTTGCAGAAGACTTATATTCATTTCCCAGCATCCACATAGTGTGACTTACAACTGTCTGTGACTCCAGCTCCAGGGGGTCCACTGCCCTCTCTTGTCTTCTGTGGGCACTGCATACACACACACACACACACACACACACACACACACACACACACACACACACACACGTAACTAAAAATAAAATACATATTTTTTTTCAAAAATCACAATGTTCATGAATTACAATAGATTAGCTCAAGGAGAAAAAAGTCTTGGCTGGGAGACAAGCTGAAATGTGACATTCAGGCATCAATAAAAGATAAGGTTGCTAAGGTTGCCGGGTGTTGGTGGCGTACACCTTTAATCCCAGAACTTGGGAGGCAGAGGCAGGCGAATTTCTGTGAGTTCGAGGCCAGCCTGGTCTACAGAGTGAGTTCCAGAACAGACTCCAAAACAATACAAAGAAACCCTGTCACCAAAAAAAAAAAAAAGATATAAGGTTGATCACAATTTGTCTAGAATTCTGTGATGAGCTCAAGAAACAAAACTTAAGAATCCATGGGATAGAAGAATGAACTGAGATTAAAACAAACAAACAAACTGAAGGCATAGAAGACACATTACATAAAATTATAGAAAAAATCTCTCAAATCCATGCAAAAAGTGGACATCTAAATACAAGATGTATTTAGAAACCCAAGAAGAAATGAACAAAGAAGAACCTCTTCACAACGCATTTTAGTTTAAATGTGATCACTACAAAACAAAGACAATACTAAAAACTGAAAGAGAACAGGAATTTATTTACAAAGACAAATACATAATAATGACATCAGACCTCTCAGCAGAAACCATAAAAGCTAAAACAGAATGGAATGATAGATTTCAAGCAACAAGAGTAAATAAAAATGCCAATTAAGATTATTATGTCCAGCAAAGTTACTTCTTAAAATCAATGGAATAATAAATACAAAATAAACACAAACTAAAGCAATTCATGACCACTAGGTCATCATTGCAGAATGTGCTCAATGGAATTACATACACTACACTGTATTTACATTGTCTCCATACCATACTTTCCCTTCTAAAACTCCTCCCATGTCTACCTCACTCCCTTTCAAATTTATGACTTCTTTAGTTATTAGTCTTACACACACACACACACACACACACAATAAAGCCTACTGAGTTCACTTAGTGTTACTTGTTAAGAATATGTGTTTATGTCTGGGTGTTGGTGGCACACGCCATTAATCCCAGAACTCAGGAGGCAGAGGCAGGCAGATCTCTGTGAGTTCGAGGCCAGCCTGGTCTACAGAGCAAGTTCCAGGATAGCCTTCAAAGAAATACAGAGAAACCCTGTCTCGGAAAAAAACAAAAAAAAAAAAAAGGAAAAAAGAAAAAAGAAAGAAAAGAATATGTGCTTATGGCTGACCACTTGGAACTGGGTTTACCCCTGGAGAAGACTGATTCTTCTTCACCGAGCAACCATCAACTGTAGCTCTTTATCTAGGAGTGGGGCCCTGTGCTGCCCCCATCCAAACTGGAATGCCAATGGTGTTATCATTGTGCAGGTCTTGTTTAGACAGCCATCTTGTTTAGATTTCATAGATGCAGCATCCTTGCTGAGTCTAGAAGACACTTTCAACAGATCTCCTAGACCTCTGGTTCTTATGATCTTTCTGCCTCCTTTTCTGTGGTGTTTCTTGGAACCTAGTGTATAGGAATTGTGTTGTGGATATATCAGTTGGGGATGGGCATCCCACAGTCAGTTGTTCTCTGCATTTCGACCAGTGTGTAGATGTCTGTAATGGTCTCCATCTGCTGCAAACAGCTTATTTGATGAGGAGTGAGCACTACACGTTTCTGTGATGTGAAGTTTGTTACGTAGAACACAGTAGGTAATTGCACTGGCTTAGGAAAGTGTTGGTAATAGGTTCTCCTCTATTGGGGTCCATGACCTCACAGTCACAGGTAGGTTGACTAGGTTTATAGTATCAGGCATGAATTCCTCCTAATTAGACAGCTGTTAGTTACCTCCAGTATGTAAGTGCCATTATTGCACTTGGGTATATCTTGCGGTGATGGTCATTGTTGTGGTTTTGGAACTAGGTAGGACTATTAATTGCTATTTGGGTTGGTAGCTTGCATAGCACCTTCAGATTTTATGAGAGCTGGTCTTCAAGAAGGAGGCTTTCAGGTCCTCCAGGTCTTATGTCAGAAGTATATGATGTGCTCAAAATTTTTTTCTGCTAAGAAACTCATTGCATAAGGGAAGATTATTTTTCTTTTTGTTTGTTTGTTTGTTTGTTTGAGACAGGGTTTCTCTTTGGAGCCTATCCTGGCCCTCACTCTGTAGACCATGTTGGCCTTGAACTCACAGAGATCAACCTGCCTCGCCTCCCAAGTGCTGGGATTAAAGGTGTGGTCCACTAATGCCCATGGGAATATTTTTCTTTACTAAAATTTGATGATGATTTTTCTCTTAGGAAAGACAAACTTAAAGTATCTTTGACTTTGTATGACTTGCTTTCATTCATCAATAATAATTTGAAATAAAATCAAAGAGATGAGAATTTTGAAGTTCTGTGATTGTGTGACTCTACAGTCTCTTGAATCAATACATTGATAAGGATGACATTATTGAGAATGTTCATAGTATGAGTCAAAACCATTGTCTTTGTGGTATGACAGGTGAAATGATGGCCTTTTTGATAAATTTTGTTGTGTTATATGAGAAAGTCATTGCTGTCTCTAATGCTGAAATGAATTGATTTGTTCCTGTATCATGAGTTGATATTTTGGTTCCATGGTTCCTTTGTTAATACATACTGACTTTTAATGAATATTTGCTGATATTTAATATAAATGACATTTCTTTATACTACATAAATATTTTTCATTCTCTGAGCAGAATATAAAACATATTAAGAGGAAGTTGGGGAAACAGCTGGTAGCTACAATGTTTGCTGTACGAGGACCTGAGTTCCATTCCCAGAACCTATGTAAAAATGTGGGTGTGGTGATAACACCTGTAACCTGGCCTCTGGGGAGATGGAGACAGACAGATAACTGAGGTTCTCTGACCAGTCAGTTTAGCCTAATTACCAAGCTAAGTTTGAGACTGTGCCTCAAAATACAAGGCAGACAGAACCTGAGAATGACCCCCAAGGTTCACCCCTGCCTACATACACACATATAGACATGTGTACCCACACCTGCACACACACACACACACACACACAGAGACAGAGAGAGACATAGAGAGAGAGAGACAGAGACAGAGACAGAGACAGAGAGGACAAATGTTGAGTTTTAGCAGCCTGGCTTGCTTTCTTTTCTTTTCTTTTCTTTCCTTTTTGGTTTCTGGTTTTTATGAGACAGGGTTTCTCTGTATTGTTTTGGAGGCTGTCGGTCCAGCCTGGCCTTGAACTCACAGAGATCTGCCTGCCTCTGCCTCCTGAGTGCTGGGATTAAAGGCGTGCGCCAACATTGCCCGGCCTGGCTTGCTTTCTTATGTTGCATCATTATCAGCAACTAAGTGATCTAACTATCCTTGGGGAAACTAGACCTTTTCCAACCTTAGTTCACAGGTTTGCATGGAACAAATGTCAGTCTCCCTGAAGAAGTAAAAATGACTCAGGCTTTGGTTAGTCAGTGGTTGAACCCTCAAACATGCAACAATCTCTTATCTTTGGTCAATAAATGTCAAATGTGGGCTTTTCATAAGAAAGGGCTTTGTCACATGGAACTTTTGAAGCAATGATGCTAAATAGGTTGACAGGTGTTTGGTAGGCCTCTCTGTTACTGCCTTGTCCATCACTCTACCATTGCCCTCCCCAAACTGTACTCTGGCCATGGATGCCCCTGGTTACTCCCCACTAGGTGGTCAGCTCACGTTTGGTTCTAACAAGAGATGAGCCTAAGCGCACATCTGTCCTTATGGACTCTGAGGTGTGACACTGAAACCACTGATATCCCACCGCTGGGAACGTGGGTTTCTGGGACTCTGACACCATTCCCCACAAGCCCCGCCCTCTACCGGTGTGTTCCTGCCATGGGCTGTAACTGGCAGCTCTCTGAGTCATTGGCTGTGGCTTCTGCGGTGGTTACTTCATGATTCTCACACAGCACTCAGAAGACATCACCAGGCAGAGGCAGTGAGGGTAAGGCTTTCATAGAAAGCCCCGTGATGAAACACCATAAAAACAGAGGGGACACAAGGGCGCCGAGCCCGCTCCACCTCCTTCATCTCCTAGAGGTTAAAAGAGAGCAAGGACAAAGCCCCAGACGCTGGGACCTACTCTGCCTTCCAGAGAAGATGAAGTTCTTCGTTCTCCTGCTCCTTCTGGCTCTTTCTCTGCTCCCTGGGACAAAGGCGGGTGAGTGAGCAACACTTGACCCTGGCGTCACCAGCAGTGGGAGGGCAGAGGCCTTTCTCAGGAAGAGCCGTCCAGTGCGAGCCCCTCCCTGAGCCTTACCTTGTCATCTGGAAAGTGAGTTTTCCTAGAAGTCCATGGTGAATTGGGAGGGCAGAGGCCTTTCTCAGAAGAGTCGTCCAGTGCGAGCCCCTCCCTGAGCCTTACCTTGTCATCTGGAAAGTGAGTTTTCCTAGAAGTCCATGGTGAAGGGTTGGGAACCTGCAAAGCAGAGAACAAACACCTGTTCTCCCGAGACAGGCAGATTGGGCCTGGCTTCATCTATGATGATCCAGGCACTCATCATCTATGATGATCCAGGCACTCATCATCTATGATGATCCAGGCACTCCCTCACTAAGGACTCATCAGAGAAACCTACACCCCAGATTAGGTGGAAATGCCACACTCAGAGTAAGTGCTTTTGCTGAATCCCAAGGTCCTGTCCTCCAACTCTGAGCGTGCAGGGCTCTTGGTGATTCCAGCAGGGTTCAAGCTTGAGCCACAAGCTAGAATGCCAGGCCCTGCATCTAGGAATGAACGGGGAGTCATCACCGGTGACACCAGTGGTCTTTACTGAATACCTACTACATGCTAGGCCTGAAGAAATAGGATGCCACAAAGTGTAAACGGAAGCTTTGGCCCCTAGAAAGCAGCCCTGTCCAGGCATCATAGGACTTGGGTACAGAAGTAAGTCTCTGGGTACAGAAGTCAGGGGACAGGCATGATGAGGACTCAGCATTTCCTAGCTCAGGGACTTAGGCTACACCAACTATGTGGAAAAGAAGATTGGGAGGCCAAGACCTACTCATCTCTCCTTTTTGAGAAGGGGAACGTGAAGGCTCTCCTCTCAGCCTGCCTAACAAGTCTGGGCACAAAGCCCACCCGGGGGACTAGTAGGTGCATACAAAAGCTGGCTTTCCTTTCAGGGGAGATCATTGGGGGACAAGAAGCCAAGCCCCACTCTCGTCCTTACATGGCTTATCTTGAGATCATGAATCGGGATACTCGAAGTAGGTGCGGCGGCTTCCTCATACGAGAGGACTTTGTGCTGACGGCTGCTCACTGTTCAGGGAGGTAAGCAGCAAGAAACAGTCTAGGCCCTCCCGGGGAATTTCCACAGAGACCTCACGTTCTTCCTCAAGGGCTTGGGATGAGAGAGGGCCCAGCAAGTCTCGTGAGGGAGATGCAGGCTGGCACCAGAGTCCCAGCTAAGGAGTCAAGCACATTGAGATGGGGCTAGCATTGCAGTACTAACCAGTGTGCAGGGAGCATCATTAGCATACTGACGCTGGGCACCTCTGGGGCAGCAGCTGCTGCTGCTGCTGCTTCAGAATCTGATCTTTTTTTTTTATGGCCAAGTAGCACAAGGCACAGTCACTCCTGTTCCCTGAGCTTCTCTCAGCTAAAGCACTACCATGGCCAGCGTGTCCGGTCCTTCACACCTATTGGGCTGCATCCTCTCTGACTCCACATCTCTTATCGTCACTCTGCTCTCTGCACAGCTCAATAAATGTCACCTTGGGGGCCCACAACATCAAAGAAAAGGAGGAGACCCAGCAGATCATCCCTGTGGCGAAGGCCATTCCACACCCTGACTATAATCCCAAGGACTACTCCAATGACCTCATGCTCTTAAAGGTGAGACCTGCCCCCCCCATCCACACCTCCCCTCCCCTGGTGCCTGTGCTCTGCTTCCTGCAGGGCTTGCCCTTCCCATCCTGCTCTCTTCCTGCTTTTCCTCCCTTCCTTCCTGGTTTTCAGAGTGTCCCAGGCCAGCAGGCTCCTGGCTGAGCTGCTCTCTCCTGCATCCCCCCCAACAGCTGAAGAGGAAGGCCAAGAGGACTAAGGCTGTGAGGCCCCTCAACCTACCCAGGCGCAAGGTCCAAGTGAAGCCAGGGGACAAGTGCTATGTGGCTGGCTGGGGACAGCTGGCCCCAAAAGGCAACTTTGCAAACACACTACAGGAGGTGGAGCTGACTGTGCAGAGGGATCAGGAGTGTGAGTCGTATTTAAAAGGTTATTACAACAAAGCCATTGAGATATGTGCGGGGGACCCAAAGATCAAGCGTGCTTCCTTTAAGGTAAGTTGGACTTTCATTCAATATTGGTTCTGTGGGAGGGGAAAAGCTATCTGGGACCTAGAGTCAGGCATCAAGGGACTCCTTGGCTGTGACCTTTCTCCGTGGGAACAGCAGACACCAGTAACTAACTAGGCCCTCAGAGCTGACCAGGAGTCTCTGTGAAGGCAGCAGGTATAGAAGGAGAATTTGCACAGTCCTCCTGACACCAGGAGACTTTAGAAAGCTGTGTCCCTGTGTGTCATCACCACAGACACCTGTCTCCTCAGAGCAGGCACCCACGTTTGTCAACTGTCCTGTCCTCCATGCCATATCATGCCATCCACAGCCTGGAGATGAGGGTCCCACACTTCTTCATAGGGAGTGGATCACAGCCCTGGAGAAAGGGCAGAGCTGGCTCAGGAGGGAGGTGAAGCAGTAACTGTGTCCACACTCAGAGCAGGAAGCCAGGCACCCAGGCCTGTCCTCTCGTCTCCCACGTGCAGAGCACTCAAGGCACGCTTCTCTGAGTGGAGATGTGACACGAGAGGGAGGTTGGGACTAGGGTCAGCACAACTCAGACCCCTGTGGCCATTCTCCATTCACAGGGGGACTCTGGAGGGCCTCTCGTGTGTAAAAAAGCGGCTGCAGGCATTGTATCCTTTGGACATACTGACGGTTCAACACCAAGAGCCTTCACGAGAGTGTCAAGTTTCCTATCATGGATAAAGAAAATGATGAAACGCAGCTAAGTACAGAGCAAAGCAGACCCCTCCCTGACTCGGCATCTTCCCTAGTACAGAAACCAGCAACTCAATAAAGTCTCTTGCTGAATGGAAAGCCTGGCTCTCTGTGCATTCATGGGGATCAACTCTGTGTCAAGCAGGCCAATGGCACTCTTCTGCTTTCTGGTCTCCCAACACACCCCACACCCCAAGGCTCAGGCAAGGCCATTGCCCAGATACGTTTTACTTGCCCCACTCTGTAGACCCTGACTTTGTGACAGGCCAAAGCCAAGCACCTTCAAGAGAAGATTGGTGCATCTCTAGTCTTGGTGTCCAGGGTGAACTTTTCCTCCTCTGTGTCATGTGGAGGACAGGAGAGGAAAATCACCGTTGGTCTGAGACACGGGAGACAGAGCTGGGGTCACTGTAGATGGGGCTCCATGGGCACAGCATCTCTGTCCCACAGCTTCCCCATTAAGTGACAGCTCTTTCAGTAAGGGCTGTTCCACATCTAGGACGAGTTTCCCTGTCCTCCTCGGGACACAGGGCCAGCTTCCTCCGGCCTCCTAGCTCCACCCCCTTCTCTTCACGCCTGCTGAGATGAGTCTATCAACTTCTGTGCTGTACAGTCCAGTCGATCTGAGCATGTTCCTACTTCTTATCTGCCTGCCTAGGACACCCAAATCCACATGTGGCTCCATTCAGTAGGTCCTGTGGTGCCAGCCTAAATCTCAACCTGGCAAGGAGGGCCTCACAAAGGACCAGACCAAATGTGGCATCACAGAGTGTCCATGGAGGCCAGGGCACTCAGTGTCTCTCCAGAACCTGCACACCTCCCACAGGCTCAGCTCTAAGAAGCTCCTCCCAGTCAGCTCAGTCCCTGTGTGCTCAGCATCCACAGCACAGGGTCACTCAGCAGCATGAGCTGCTCTGAGCATGCTCAGCTTAGTCACTGCTGGCCTCTAGGATGAGATGCCCTGATGGTCACCTGGCCTATGTCAGTCTTTGATATACTTTTTTATCAGTCAGCACTGAAGTGTGTGAGGCTTGGAAATGACTTTAGTCTTTAGCTTCTAGTGGGAAACTATTCAGAAAAATATCACTTTCACCCAGGAGATAGGACAGGTCGTTCAGAATAACACAACTGAGACAGCCTTGTTGTATTTACTTTAAAAGTAACAGATACAGTCTGTGTGTAGACATAAACCATAAGAGGCACACATGTTGAGAAACATAATTCAGAAACAGAATTAAACACGAATCTAGGAGATTAATAAAAAATGATGTGGAGGAGTACTTGTACTGTTTAGACATTTTTGGTTAATGCCTAAGACTACTTGGCTTCTCATTGTTAGGAAGTTGTTGGCATGAGACTGTAGCCAGAATGTGTGGCTTTTTGTTAAGTAAATGTCTCCCTGTTTGGGACTCACATTGCTAAAATTAAAGAAAACTAATTAAAGTTTGCAGGTATGGATGCTCATGCCTTAATCCAATACATTGGAGGTAGAGGCAGGCAGATCTCTGAGCCCCAGGCCAGTTAAAGACATAAAGAGAGGCTCCATCTCAAAATGAACAAACCAAAAATTACTTAACTTAAAACTCTAAGCAGGCTTGGCTCAGGGTCCTGTCCTGTCACACACTTACCAGATGATATGACTGGTAGGTATAGCTTATGTCTCCATGTCACAAATAGACACAGCCTCACATTCTTCTTGGAGAAAAAGTAAAACTCCCTTGGAGTCTGGAAACTTTCAAAGACACGCTTTTATATAGGAAGAGATGTATGTGGCACACAGCTTCTGATAGGGAACTGGAAGGCCAGCCCTGCCTGGAGACACACTAAGGAAACAAAAAAGAGTACAGAATGAAAGAAAAATGTATGTTAGAAATCATATGGTCACATATGTGTTCAGTTTAGGTGTTATATTTATTTTGAGGAGATGGCTCTACGGCTTAAAATAACTTTGAAAACCACTACTGTGTATCGTTACAGAGGAGATAAAATAATTTTCTACCAAAGATAGTAACTGACCAGACAAACAGCATCGACCATGTTAGGACAGAGCCTGAACTGAGCCTGGGATTCCCAGGCCACCAAGGCACAAGTGACCTTAATGTCATCTCATCTCTGCTCAGTAACTTGCTGGCATCCACACAAAAGATGAGCCCATGCTCAGACTTCCCCTGGACAGAGAACCTCTGGGCTCCTCCCACAGCTGCATGGAGAAGGTATTCAAAGTCACCTGACTTTGCTCCCTGGAGCACATATTTCAGTAGATTCAGAGGCAGGAAATGCCTTAAACACAGATGCTTCTCATTCCTCTGCTCTGTGGAAGGATCTCTCCCCCTCAGCATTTGCAAAAGAGCTTTCTCTGCTCCCCTAAATCTCTGTACTGATGCTTTGCACCTGGGAAAGGAAATGCTTCAACTTATCAAGACCCAACTCTCCGCTCCTCAGGCCACCATGGTCCATCCCAGCAAGCCAGAGAGAGCCGTGAGACACCCTGAAGGAAACAGACCAGACACAAGAACACTAGGTCTTCTTGGTTTTAGTTGGGGAATACATGTTGGTACACCTCCATTGTCCAGTTCAATTTCATACATCTGCCAGCACCACCTACTGTGGACATAGAGAATATAGTGTTTCTCTTTTGTATTTGTGTCCCATGCCACCTTTCCTGGTGGCTTTTGGTGAGGTTGTCCCCCTAGGTTCATGCATTACAGCTCCTGGTTTGTAGTAGGTGATACTGTTTGGGGATATTAGGAAATATGGCCTTGGTGGAGGTTGTTTCAAAAACTCATGGCATTCCCAATTCCCTCTCTCCCTACCCCCTCTCTCTGCCATGCTTGTGTGTGTGTGTGTGTGTGTGTGTGTGTGTGTGTGTGTGTGTGTGTGTATGCGTGCATTTGTAAATACAGTAAATGATAAAAGCCCTCAGCTCTGCTCCAGCTGCCATGCCTTTCATACCTGGATCCCCATGCCCTAATATTACTCCTACTAGTGGCCTTAGCCATGGTGTTTTTTCACAGTAATAAAAATGTGACTAATACACATACATTTAAGCAACATATCTATTGTACCTTGACAGAAATGCAGAAATGGATCCATTTGTCATATTTCTCAGAAGTATTTGACCTGAAAACATTGTGGGAGAGGTTACAAAGAACATAGCTACCCACAGATGAATGACAACTATCATCAGTATCAGGCTGCCACCCTACATGATGTAGTTTATTCTTAAACCCAGAAATGTCATTTTCCCCTACAACTACAATACAGGCTTCCAAAGCAAAGAGATGTGTGAACAACTCACCCTTCTAGAAAAGATCACCTGTATTTCCAGCACTCCATGGGCTGAGATAGGAGGATAGAGCTTTCAAACTCAGCCTCGGCCACAGAGCAAGATCCTGTCTATAAAATGAGTTTCTTCCTATACAATCTTTAGTTTTGATTGCCCAGAAGTCTTAATTCCTGAGAAGTGAGTTGACCATAAATAATGAATTAATATATATCTGGGTCATCAATTCTGATTTCCAGGGGAAAAGAGATTCATTGAATTGTTTCTCAAAGTTTAATGACTACTAACAAAAGTCCATGATAGACCTCTGAAAGAGGATAAGGGAGAGACCATTAGACACCTTAATGATCAAGTTTAGAGTCACTGCAGCAGATAACTGATTGGGGAAGTCCTTCTGTGTATGTGTTTGGTAGGTATAAATAAAACACTGTTGGCCAGTAAGAAGCAAGATAGGTGGGACTAGGAGTCTAGGCAGATTCTGGGAAATGTAGTAAAGGGTAGTCATTGCCATGTGATCTCCCGTGAGGAAAGGATGCCTCAGGAGAGTGTCTTTGGAAAGATAAGTCCTTATAAAAATATATTTAGTAATTATGGGTCAATAATTAAGTCAGAGATAGCCAATGAGAAACAATAGCAAATGGCCAACAGCTTCATAATTAATATAGTGTGTCACGTGTTATTTGGGGGCTAAAATGACAATGGGACCCAGGCAGCTGGAGGGAAGAATGCACGTTACATATGGTGCCTGGACTTGGGGCATGAACTCCCACTTAAGAATCTAACAAAAACTTAAAAGGGGGTTTTAGAAACAAAAGAACAGAGACAGGCAAGGCTTCTTGGTAGCAGCATTTTCTCGTGTGGGCTCTGTTTTGCTAGAGACAAGCGGAGACTTTCACAGCCAGTACTGGAGGTAAACTTAAGCCCGCCATCTTGGAAAGACTGCAGTTAAAACAGCTAGGGCTCTTAGCAGATAAAAGACATGTGACTGGAAAAACATAAAGATTTACAGTAAAGTCAGATTCAGATAAAGTAAAACCTCTAAAAGGTGAGTGAGGTGGCACAAGCCTTTAATCCCAGCACTGCAGAGGCAGAAGCAGGCGGATTTCCACAGAGAAACCCTGCCTCAGAGAAAAAATAAATAAATAAAGGTAAAAGGAATAGAGTAATAAAACGCCATGTAAAGATGAAAAGCACAAAGAGAACCTGGATAATGTATGCTATCGTGCTGTCTTTGAATTGTTTGACTGCTAAGGAAATAACAACAACTGGTAAAATACGCTTGCTTATAAATGTTGCTAAATTAATCCAACTTACATATTTTAAAAATGCTTTGACTTCTAAATGTAAACATAAGGACAGGTTACTTGGGAAAAAGTTTTTGTTTCTGTTTCCACAGAAAATGAAAGGCTGTGGATTCCTTCCAGGCTTGTATGGTTTGATGAAGCAAGACCTCCTGAAGCAGTATCCCAGGCAGTCCAGCATCTGAAACAACTGGCACGATACAGCTGTACAGACCACAAAAACAAGACCTTACTCAGGTTTCTGTGTTTTGTCATGATCCCCATGGTATGGACAGTGCCCCCAATCAGCAGGAAGCAGTTTGGAATGAACAGCACCCAAATTCCCAAATATTGTTTATAAAATTTTGTTTTCTTTTAAATTGGTAATGATTACAGTCAATCTCTTTCTAAAGGGAAAAAGGGAATATGATATAGAAATGAATACTTTCTATTGGTATGGATTTTCATTTATTAATACAAATTTAAGGTCAATTTTGTGATATGTATATTTCTCCTCTTGTTTAGGTATTGTGTTTGTATAACTCATTTAAAAATGTAATGTATAATTAAATACAGATTATAGATAGTTACCTTTAATAGTCAAAACTTATAGCTAGGTTAGTTAGTTTTTCTAGATATACAGAGATATAATTGAGATAGATAGTCTTCAACCTTTCAAAGACCTTCAGAAAATGGCATTTAAAATGGTTTAGGGTGTTTCTTGACAATTAAAAATGTCTGCTCCTGGCAGCACCAATTATGTCTGAGAGGAAGATGGGCATCGAAGAAATTCATTATGGAGTTTGCTTTCAACATGGCAAGATTAGCCATTTGGGCAAGAACCTGCTCTTGCCTGGACTGTTTGACTGTTGTTGTATAAAATGGATATACAGGGCCCACAGGAAAGTGACTGCTGAACTTGGACAGTCCTACAGGGTTCCTGCTTTATGGAAGAGTCTGCCAGACATTCTGCAGGACACAGAAAAATGACTGACAGACTGCCAATGCAGGTGGACAGTTTAAAATTTCCTGATTTCCTGAGAAGTCTGCCAGAGACACTGTGGCCTATGGGCTGAAGATGGATGCCCCAATGTTACAAAGGAACTTTGGGTGACTGTCCAGGTAGCAAGATGTCTCTGTTAATTCTGGTGTTTATATATTATCCTTCTGTGGTCTTTGATGGAGTTGAAGACAGATAGTTATAGCTAGTTATGATAAAAGATAAGCTACATATAAGACTTTAGACTCACACAGATAGGATAGATGATAAAATACTTTCTTTAAATCCTATTAAATGTTAATGGACTAAATATTGTATTTATAATTCTTACTTAGCAGCAACGGGACCCAGGCAGCTGGAGGTAAGAAATGCAAGTTATAGATAACAAATCTTTGCAGTTTAAACTCTGAGGTAAGAGTCCCATGCAAAGCTTTCCAGAGATCATTAAGTCACCCTCCTCAAAATGATCACCCAGTCTATTTGGCCAAAGACACTGCCAACTTAGTGCCAGGGAGAGTGACATCCTGGGCTCATTGCAGTTTGACAGCAGGCAACCATATTGTGACAACTCACATGAGATCTTCCTACTGTGGTTTGCAATCTCTACAAGAGGTAGAAAGTTTGGATCTGACCCAGGAATGTCCTCCTTTTCCTCAGTGTCCTTAGAATATTAGTTAATACAAGTCATCAGGAATAGCTACCTACAAAGTTTTAATACAATTTCACCTAAGTAGCTGATGTGTTCCTTAGACTAGGGCAAGAAGTAAATAAATAGAATTCCTTTTGCCTCTCTGGACTATTCCTCTGCATACCAAGTCTTGTATATTTCATAAAGCTAATTTCCTAAAGATATGACAACTTTAAAATTTTACATTAAATACATACTTTCAGGCTTCAAAATAATGTTCTATGTATATGATGTGAAATGATTAAATCAAAATGGCACATCCATAAAATGGAATACTTTTCATTTTTGTAAAGAGAACATAAATATTTGACACCAGTATTGAAATGCATAATGTATTATGAACATATTGTGCAGTAGACCTCAGAAAGTCATTCATCCCCTAATTAAATTCTGTGCTTTGCTCAACAGCTTCCAATTCTAATCTGTCCAGCACCTGAGTCATTCTCTCTACTTCACAAGTTCTCTTGTTTTAGATTTGAAACACAGTGAGATCATGTATTAGTTTTCTACTGCTCATAGTTTATACAGCTTAGGATCATGTCTCAGTTTCACCTGTATCATTGCAAATGATGGAATGTCTTCATCTTTTTAATATCTGGATAAAGGAACTGGAGAGATGGCTCAGGGGTTTACAGCACTTGTTGCTCTAGTAGAGGACTCAGGTTCAGTCTCCAGCATCCACATGATGTCTTACAACCATCCTAACTCCAGATCCAGCTCATCGTTGTCCTATTCTAACCTCCATGGGCAACACACACACACACACACACACACACACACACACACACACGCGCGCGCGCACACACACACACGCGCATGCACACACACACGCACGCACACACACGCACACACACACACACGCACACACACACACGCACACACACACACACACACACACACACACACACACACACACACACTTATTCTTAGGGCAAGGCCAGCCTGTCTCACTTCCCAGAGCTGATATCACACAGCTCTAACCATCCTGAGCTCTCAGTTCAGATTCTCAGCTCACTCCAGTCAATAGCTGCCTTTCCTAAGGCTGGAGCCCTGTGTGTCTCACTCCTGGATCTAGTCCTCTAAATAATCCTCCCATATCCAATCACGGTCTTTGTTTATTATAGAAAATCCTAGACAACACTGTGGAAAACAACACTGCAGTCCTCAGCAAGGAAGCCAGCACTGATCTAATCTTACTGTGCATCAAATTCAACCCTGAAGGTCTTGCTTAGCGATAAATTCCAGTACCTAACACACAGGTCACCAGTACATGTCATTGTAATTGGTTATTATACTTAATTACATATGACTCTAAGGCATGATCACAGGGAAAACACTTGCTTTTGAGATTTCTCTGTGACATCCTTGCAGTTTAGGAGAGTCAGAGTGAGTTAAGATGACTTCATCAGACTATTCCAACAGATGATTCCACTGTATGATCAGAAGATCCAGAGGTTAGTTAGATATACTGAAACTCTGCCTAGTCAAATATGTTTCTGTACCAAGTCTCACTAAGTACACTATAAATTTGTCTGTGTATTTGTAGTGATATAATTGCTTTATGGTAATTTGGGTGCCAGTATTATTTTCAAAAAAGAAAGGAAAGAAAAAATCAAAAAATGATCTTACCAGAATGGGAAAATATGTAAGAGATAATAAAGGACAGACTTCTGTCTCAGTGCAGACACTGAGGACTTCCTGGGGTCTCAGGCCATCCTCAACCACAGCCTCAAACCTTCTTTTCTTGGTCTTTAGCATGGCTTAGCTCATAAGACGTCAATGTGGGTACAGTGTCATTTTTACCCAAACCAGAAAGCTTCCTCAACTAATAGATCCAATCAGAGCTGAGGTGCAGAGGCTTAAAATGCCTGTGAGGGCACTGGTCACTCACCTCCTCCATCCCTTCAAGGGCTGTGTCTACTCTGGCCTGCTCCAACCCAAGCAGCCTCCCTGGGAAGATGTCACCTGTCCTGATTCTCCTGACCTTTCTTCTGCCACTTGGAGCTGGTGCAGGTGAGTGAACACCCCTGTCCCTGCGGTGCCATCCCATAATACCTCTGTGGATGCTCTGCCCAGCTCTAGTCAGGAACTGTCCTGCACTGAGCCAGGAGCTTTCTGAGCCTTAGGTCCCACACCAACTCACATATGAGAATCTGTCACTGGTGAGATTCTCAGCAAGGTCTGAGGAAGGGAGGTGTCCTCAGAAGACTCAGTGGACACTATGTACTTTCTGCTCTTTTTGTCACCTGGAGAGTGGATCATTCTTAGATAGGGACATTACAGAAAATGCAAAGATACTGAAATCTACATCATTAACTTTACTTAAGCCCTGTGAAGGGCAACTCTAATGACCAGCCTGCAGTGGGCTAAGGCCACCAGCTCTAGACTAGTAGCACCATTTAGGTACCTCCGCCCTCAGCCTGCAGAAGAAAGAGGCCCAGGGTGTCAAGAGGCCTGCATTACCCACTCCACTAGCTCTGCAGTCTAGTTTTAGTTGGCCTCTGCATTTCTGTCTGCAGGTCCCTAGATATTCCCATCTTTGCCAGTGTCCCCAGGTCCTGAATCCCATGAACTCTAACCAGCCCTGCAGCTATGTAATACTCATTAATTCATGCAGTCAATATAATTTTTACTGAGATGCTGAGCACCAGAATAGGAGAATTTTAGAAGACCCTCTCCATAGGACTTGGGGGAAAAGGTGACAGACTAACAACAGCCAAGACATTAGAGGAGTCACAGAGACTCATGAACAAAGAAATGACCGAGGCACATCACCCAGCATCCCCTTGGTCTCTACCATGGTGAAGATAAAGCTTGTCCCTCCAACTGTATGTAAATAAGAGGCTGAAGGACAAGTGATGCCCAACCCTTCTCACAGCAGGGGTGCGGCTTAAGATTCAAAAAAGATTATTCTGTGTGCAGGAATTCTGTCCACAACAGGCTTGGGAACTGCAGATCCCATCGCCTGCACCCTCTCTAGATCTTCCCTCCTGTCCTCATCTGCTGCTCCCAGACACCCCATATTCTAGCCTTTTCTTTCAGAGGAGATCATCGGGGGACATGAGGTCAAGCCCCACTCCCATCCCTACATGGCATTTATTCAGTCTGTGCATGATAATGGGAAGAAGATTCGCTGTGGAGGCTTCCTGGTGCGAGACAACTTCGTGCTGACAGCTGCTCACTGCCTGGGAAGGTGAGGAGAAGCAGCAGGCCCAGGTTTTCTGAGACCCCAACAGGAGCTCCTGTCCTGTACTTGTGGATGATCCTGTGAGAGCTCACTAGAAGTCAGGACTATGAAAATGGAAGTCTGAAAACATTGAAACTATGGGATCAAAGGGTGAGAGGTCAGAGTTGGCAGCAACTTGAATTCAAAACAAGGGCACTGGCCACGCAGTGGTTGAGGTTGACTGTACACAGTAAGAGTCAATGCAAACTTTGGGATATTGCCTAGAAATAAGAGGGAGTCCCCAGGCATCCAATGTCCTTGAATTGCAAAGAAAAGTAGGTCAAACCCTGAGATCCTCCTGTCCCCTCAGGTAAACCACTACCCTACCCACCCTGCCTTTTACATCTCCTGATGGTGTCCTCTCTCACTCCACATTTCTCATTCCACCCTGCTGTCCTCACAGATCCATGAAAGTCACTCTGGGAGCCCACAACATCAAGGCACAGGAGGAGACCCAGCAGATCATCCCTGTGGCAAAAGCCATTCGACACCCTGACTATAATCCTAAGGACCGCTCCAGTGACCTCATGCTCTTAAAGGTGAGACCTGCCACCCCCATCCACATCCCCTCCCCTGGTGCCTGTGCTCTGCTTGCTGCAGGGCTTGCTCCTCCCTTCCTGCTCTCTTCCTGCTTCTTCTCTCTCTCCCATCCTGGCTTTTAAAGTGTCTCAGGCCAGCAGGTTCCTATCTGAGATGCTCTCTCCTGCCTCTTCCCCAACAGCTGGAGAGTGTGGCTAAGAGGACTAAGGCTGTGAGGCCCCTCAACCTACCCAGGCGCAAGGTCCAAGTGAAGCCAGGAGACAAGTGCTATGTGGCTGGCTGGGGACAGCTGGCCCCTGAAGGTGAATACTCAGACACACTTCAAGAGGCGGAGCTGACGGTGCAGAGGGATCAGGAGTGTGAGTCCCGCTATGCAGGTTACTACAACAAAGCCATTGAGATATGTGTGGGGGACCCGAAGATCAAGCGTGTTGCCTTTCAGGTAAATTGAATTTTAATCCTCTATGGGCTCTGTGGGACGGGAAAAGCTATCTGCGACCTAGAGTCAAGAGTCAAGGGACTCCTTGGCTGTGACCTTTCTCCGTGGGAACACCAGTAACTAACTAGGGTCTCAGAGCTGACCAGGAGTCTCTGTGAAGGCAGCAGGTATAGAAGGAGAATTTGCACAGTCCTCCTGACACCAGGCCAGACTTTAGAAAGCTGTGTCCCTGTGTGTCATCACCACAGACACCTGTCTCCTCAGAGCAGGCACCCACGTTTGTCAACTGTCCTGTCCTCCATGCCATATCAGGCCCACTCACCTGTCCCTGGGATCTTAAACAACAGCCTGGAGATGAGGGTCCCACACTCCTTCATAGGGAGTGGATCACAGCCCTGGAGAAAGGGCAGAGCTGGCTCAGGAGGGAGTGAAGCAGTAACTGTGTCCACACTCAGAGCAGGAAGCCAGGCACCCAGGCCTGTCCTCTCGTCTCCCACATGCAGAGCACTCAAGGCACGCTTCTGGGAGAGGGACTAGGGTGAAATCAGCTCAGACCCCTGTGGTCCTTCTACATTCACAGGGGGACTCTGGAGGGCCTCTGGTGTGTAAAAAGGCAGCTGCAGGCATCGTAGCCTTGGGATATGATGATGGTTCAACACCTGAAGTCTTCACCAGGGTCTCAAGTTTCCTATCGTGGATAAAGAAAACGATGAAACAGAGCTAACTACAGAGCAAACCAGACCCCTCACTGACTCAGCAACTTCTCTACAGCTGATTCCAGGGCTGTCCTAGTCCAGAAGCCAGCAACTCAATAAAGTCCCTTTGCTGAATAGAAAGACTGATTTCCTGTGCATTCATGGGGACCTGCTCTGTGCTAGCAGGCCAATGACACACTTCTGTCTGCTCACTCAACATCACACACACACCGTGCCCAAAGCTCAGACAAGGGCATTGCCCATATCATTTTTACTCGTCCCACTCTGCAGTGCCTGCCCTTCGGACAGGACTAAAGCCAAGCTAGGCTGTCTCTAGTCTTGGTGTCCAGGGTGAACTTTTCCTCCTCTGTGTCATGTGGAGGACAGGAGAGGGAAATCACCACTGGTCTGGAGACACGGGAGACAGAGCTGGGGTCACTGTAGATGGGGCTCCATGGGCATAGCATCTCTGTCCCACAGCTTCCCCATTAAGTGACAGCTCTTTCAGTAAGGGCTGTTCCACATCTAGGACGAGTTTCCCTGTCCTCCTCTGGACACAGGGCCAGCGTTCTCCAGCATTGTGGCTCCACCCCTTTCTCTTCATGTCTGTTCAGATGAGTCTGTCAACCTCTGTGTATTACTTAAGAACAGATCTGTGCACATTCCTACCTTTTTCTTATTCCTTTACAACCCAAGACATGGATGGTTTCTTTCATTATGTCCTCAGTCTCGGGGTGCCAGGCTAAATCTCAACCTGGCAAGGAGGGCCTCACAAAGGTCCAGACCAAATGCGGCATCACAGAGTGTCCATGGAGGCCAGGGCACTCAGTGTCTCTCCAGAACCTGCACACCTCCCACAGGCTCAGCTCTAAGAAGCTCCTCCCAGTCAGCTCAGTCCCTGTGTGCTCAGCATCCACAGCACAGGGTCACTCAGCAGCATGAGCTGCTCTGAGCATGCTCAGCTTAGTCACTGCTGGCCTCTAGGATGAGATGCCCTGATGGTCACCTGGCCTATGTCAGTCTTTGATATACTTTTTTATCAGTCAGCACTGAAGTGTGTGAGGCTTGGAAATGACTTTAGTCTTTAGCTTCTAGTGGGAAACTATTCAGAAAAATATCACTTTCACCCAGGAGATAGGACAGGTCGTTCAGAATAACACAACTGAGACAGCCTTGTTGTATTTACTTTAAAAGTAACAGATACAGTCTGTGTGTAGACATAAACCATAAGAGGCACACATGTTGAGAAACATAATTCAGAAACAGAATTAAACACGAATCTAGGAGATTAATAAAAAATGATGTGGAGGAGTACTTGTACTGTTTAGACATTTTTGGTTAATGCCTAAGACTACTTGGCTTCTCATTGTTAGGAAGTTGTTGGCATGAGACTGTAGCCAGAATGTGTGGCTTTTTGTTAAGTAAATGTCTCCCTGTTTGGGACACATTGCTAAAAAAAAAAGAAAACTAATTAAAGTTTGCAGGTATGGATGCTCATGCCTTAATCCAATACATTGGAGGTAGAGGCAGGCAGATCTCTGAGCCCCAGGCCAGTTATGAACAAACCAAAAAATACTTAAAACTCTAAGCAGGCTTGGCTCAGGGTCCTGTCCTGTCACACACTTACCAGATGATATGACTGGTAGGTATAGCTTATGTCTCCATGTCACAAATAGACACAGCCTCACATTCTTCTTGGAGAAAAAGTAAAACTCCCTTGGAGTCTGGAAACTTTCAAAGACACGCTTTTATATAGGAAGAGATGTATGTGGCACACAGCTTCTGATAGGGAACTGGAAGGCCAGCCCTGCCTGGAGACACACTAAGGAAACAAAAAAGAGTACAGAATGAAAGAAAAATGTATGTTAGAAATCATATGGTCACATATGTGTTCAGTTTAGGTGTTATATTTATTTTGAGGAGATGGCTCTACGGCTTAAAATAACTTTGAAAACCACTACTGTGTATCGTTACAGAGGAGATAAAATAATTTTCTACCAAAGATAGTAACTGACTGGACAAACAGCATCGACCATGTTAGGACAGAGCATGAACTGAGCCTAGGATTCCCAGGCCACCAAGGCACAAGTGACCTTAATGTCATCTCATCTCTGCTCAGTAACTTGCTGGCATCCACACAAAAGATGAGCCCATGCTCAGACTTCCCCTGGACAGAGAACCCCTGGGCTCCTCCCACAGCTGCATGGAGAAGGTGTTCAAAGTCATTTGGCTTTGCTCCCTGGAGCACATATTTCAGTAGATTCAGAGGCAGGAAATGTCTTAAACACAGACGCTTCTCATTCCTCTGCTCTGTGGAAGGATCTCTCCCCCTCAGCATTTGCAAAAGAGCTTTCTCTGCTCCCCTAAATCTCTGTACTGATGCTTTGCACCTGGGAAAGGAAATGCTTCAACTTATCAAGACCCAACTTCTCTGCTCCTCAGGCCACCATGGTCCATCCCAGCAAGCCAGAGCGAGCCGTGAGACACCCTGAAGGAAACAGACCAGACACAAGATCACAAGGTCTTCTTGGTTTTAGTTGGGGAATAGATGCTGGTATACCTCCATTGTCCTGTCCAACTTCACACATCTTCCAGCACTGCCTACTGTGAACACTGAGAATATATAGTTTCTGTATGTATTTGTGTTCCATGACACCTACCTGTGGCATATTTTAGTGACGATTACCCTCTATGTTCATGTATTTCAACACGTCATTCCCAGTTGGTGATGCTGTTTGGGAATGTTAGGAAATATGGCCCTGGTGGATGAAGTACATTACTAGGGTTATGAGGGTTCAAAGACTCACACCACTCCCAAACTCCCTCCCTCCCCCTCTCCCCCTTTCCCTCCCTCCCTCCCTCCCTCCTCCTCCCTCCATTTCTCCCTCCCTCCCTCTCTTTGTCTCTCTGCCTCCTTCCCTTTCTCCCCCCTCTCCTCATGCCCTGATGTGTGTGTGTGTGTGTGTGTGTGTGTGTGTGTAATTAAAGTAAAGACACCCATGCAACTCTAGTCTTTGTCCTAGAAGTTGTCTTGGTAATGGTGTTTTATCACAGTAATAGAAAAGCTAGCAATAAACAGGCTTTTAAGCAACATACATATTTTACCTTGTCAAAAATGCAAGAATGGATTCATTTGTCAGGTCTCAGGAGTAGCTGGCACAAAGCATTGTGGGAGAGGCTACAGAGAACACAGTCACAGCTGAATGACAACTATCAGCAGTATCAGGCTGCCACCCTGCATGGTATAGTTCATCCTTTAATCCATAATGTCACTTTCAGTGGCTTTGGCCTGGGCTGCCTCCAGTTGAGCAATGAGAAGGTGGATGGTGTGGTGCTGCCCCCATGGGCCAGCTGTCCAGAGGACGTCATCCAACAGCACCACCGGGCTCTGGAGTCAGAGCATGTGTCCACCTCCCTGCATGAGTGGGTCGACCTCATCTTTGGCTGTTTCATGGTCAGTTGTTGTCTGTATTATTTCAAATGGAAAGAAAGAAACCAAAGAAACCAAAAGAGATCTTACCAGAATGCACAGGATGTAAGAGGTAAAAAGGACACACTTGGGTTGGGTGCAGACACTGAGGACTTCCTGGGGTCTCAACCCCTCCGCAACCACAGCCTCAAACCCTCCTTTCTTGATCTGTATCCCACCTTAGCTAATGTTAGTATGGTGTCAGTGTCATTTTACCCAATCAGAAAGCTTCCTTAAGTATTAGAGCCAATCAGAGCTGAGGTGCGCAGGTTTAAATGCCTGTGAGGGCACTGGGCACTCACCTCCTCCATCCCTTCAAGGCCTGTGTTTACTCTGTCCTCCTCCAACCCAAGCAGCCTCCCTGGGAAGATGTCACCTGTCCTGATTCTCCTGACCTTTCTTCTGCCACTTGGAGCTGGTGCAGGTGAGTGAACACCCCGGTCTCAGGGGTGCCATCCCATAATACCTCTGTGGACTCTCTACTCAGCACTAGTCAGGAACTGTCCTGCACTGAGCCAGGAGCCTTCTGAACCTCAGGTCCCACACCAACCCACATATGAGAATCTGTCACTGGTGAGATTCTCAGCAAGGTCTGAGGAAGTGAGGTGTCCTCAGAAGACTGAGTGGACACTATAGACTTTCTGCTCTTTTTGTCACCTGGAGAGTGGATCATTCTTTACAGAAGGATGTTACAGACAATGCAAGGATACTTAAAACTACATCATAAACTTTACTAGAGCCCAGGGCTAGGACAGCTTTACTGAACAGCATGTAATTGGGTAAGGCCACCATTCTAGAATATTAGTATCATTTAGTATCCTCCACCCTCAGCCTGCTGAAGAAAGAGGCTCAGGCTGACAAGACCCCTGTATTGCACACTCCATTAGCACTGCAGTCTAGATTAGTTGGCCTCTCCATTTCTGCCTGAGGTCCCTAGTCATTCCCATCTTCACCATCACACACTCCAATGTCCCCGAGACTCTACATCCCATGAGTTCTGAACCACCAATCTTCCAGTTATGTAGTACTCATTCTTTCATGCTGTCAAATCATTACTGAAAACTTAAGATGTGTTGGATGCCAGAATAGGAGAATTTCAGAAAATCCTCCTCCATAGAACTTGGAGTGAAAGGCGAAGAAATGAAACTAATCAAGACATTAAAGCACAATAACAACGAAAAGACCAGTGACCACTTAGTGTATCCACATGAGGATAGAGCTTGTCCTTACAAGTACTTGTAAAGAGGGAATTGAGTACAAGTGCACCCCACCCCTTCTAAGAGCAGGGGTGCAGCTTAAGATTCAAGAAAGATTATTCTGTGTGCAGGAATTCTGTCCACAACAGGCTTGGGAACTGCAGATCCCATCACCTGCACCCTCTCTAGATCTTTCCTCCTGACCCCGTCTGCTGCTCCCAGACACCCCATATTCTAGCCTTGTCTTTCAGAGGAGATCATCGGGGGACATGAGGTCAAGCCCCACTCCCGCCCCTACATGGCATTTATTCAGTCTGTGCGTGATGATGGGAATAAGAGTCGCTGTGGAGGCTTCCTGGTGCGAGACAACTTCGTGCTGACAGCTGCCCACTGCCTGGGAAGGTGAGGAGAAGCAGCAGGCCCATGTTTTCTGAGACCTCAACAATCCCTAATTGTAGACGCTCCTGTGAGAGCTCACTAGAGGGCAGGTCTGTTAAAATGGAAGTCTGAAAATGGAAACTTTGACGTAAAGGTGAGAGGTCAGAGCCAGTTGCTCACTTGAGGTAAAAACAACTACAGTGGCCAAACTAAAGCAGTGATTGAGGTAGAAAGTATACAGAAATAGTCAATGCAAACTTGGAATATTGCCTAGAACAAGACGGAGCCTCCAGGCATCTAATTCTATTGAGAAGCAAAGAGCAGTATGTCAAACCCTGAGATCATCCTGTCTCCCGAAGCCCCCCCCCCACGTAGATCCCCAGCCAGCCCATCCTGTCTCCTACACTTTCTGGATCCTGTTTACTCTCACTCCACATTTCTCATCTCTATCCTGCTGTCCTCACAGCTCTATGAAAGTCACTCTGGGAGCCCATGATGTCACAGCACAGGAGGAGACCCAGCAGATCATCCCTGTAGCAAAAGCCATTCAACACCCTGACTATAATTCTAAGGACTACTCCAGTGACATCATGCTCTTGAAGGTGAGGCCTGTCCTCACCCTGGACCAGGGATCACCCCTCCTGCTCTCCTTACCCTCCTTTCTACCCTGTCACCCTGGCCTGCATGCGGTCTCAGCCCAGCTGTCAATGAGATGGACTCCTGCCTCTTCCCCACAGCTGCAGAGGCAAGCCCAGAGAACTAAAGCTGTGAGGATCCTCAAGCTTCCAGGGCGCAAAGTGCATGTGAAGCCAGGAGATGTGTGCTCCGTGGCTGGTTGGGGAAAGACGGCCCCAGATGGCAAATGCTCAGACACACTTCAAGAGGTGGAGCTGACGGTGCAGAGGGATCAGGAGTGTGAGGCCCACTATCCAGGTCGTTACAACAAAGCCATTGAGATATGTGTAGGGGACCCCAAGATCAAGCGTGCGGCCCTTAAGGTAAGTTGGATTTTCATCTGTGGACTTTATGGGAGCAGAAAAGCTATTTGGGACCTAGAGTCAAGCATCGGGGGACTCCTTGGCTGTGACCCTTTTCTCTGGGAACAGCAGACACCAGTAACTAACTAGGGTCTCAAAGCTGACCAGGAGTCTCTTTGAAGTCAGCTAGTATAAAAAGAGAATTTGCACAGTCCTCTTCCCTGTGTTTCATCAACACTAACACCTGTCTCCTCCACGTTTGTCAACTGTCCTGTCCTCCATGCCATCTCAGGCCCCCTCACCTGTCCCTGGGATCTTAAACAGCAGCCTGGAGATGAGGGTCCCACACTCCTTCATAGGGAGTGGATCACCTGGAGAAAGGGCAGAGCTGGCTCAGGAGGGAGTGAAGCAGTAACTGTGTCCACACTCAGAGCAGGAAGCCAGGCACCCAGGCCTGTCCTCTCGTCTCCCACATGCAGAGCACTCAAGGCATGCTTCTGGGAGAGGGAAGGTGGGACTAGGGTGAAATCAGCTCAGACCCCTGTGGCCCCTCTCTATTCACAGGGTGATTCTGGAGGGCCTCTCTTGTGTAAGAAAGTGGCTGTAGGCATTGTATCCTTTGGAAAAAATGATGGTTCAACACCTGAAGTCTTCACCAGGGTCTCAAGTTTCCTATCTTGGATAAAGAAAACAATGAAAATCAGCTAACTACAGAGCATGCCAAACCCTTCCCTGACTCACCATCTTTCCCAGGCTGAGTCCAGGGCTGTCCTAGGACAGAAACTCAATAAAGACTCTTTGCTGAATCACAACACTGGCTTCCTGTTTATTCATGGGGATCAACTCTGTGCTAGCAGGCCAATGACACTCTTCTGCTTTCTGTTCACCCCAAAACCATATACCCCCACACCCCAAAACTCAGACAATGATATTGCCCAGATACTTTTACTTGTCCCACTCTCTGGTGCCTGCCTTTGTGACAGGCCCAAAGCCAAGCACCTTCAAGAGAAGATTGGTGCATCTCTAGTCTTGGTGTCCAGGGTGAACTTTTCCTCCTCTGTGTCATGTGGAGGAAAGGAGAGGGAAATCACCGTTGGTCTGAGACACGGGAGACAGAGCTGAGGTCACTGTAGATGGGGCTCAATGGGCACAGCATGTCTGTCCCACAGCTTCCCCATTAAGTGACAGCTCTTTCAGTAAGGGCTGTTCCACATCTAGGACGAGTTTCCCTGTCCTCCTCTGGACACAGGGCTAGCTTCCTTGGGCCTCCTAGCTCCTCCCCCTTCTCTTCACACCTGCTGAGATGAGTCTATCGCTTTACAGTCTGGCTGCTCTTCCAGAAGTCCTAGGTTCAATTCCCAACCATATGTTGCCCTACAACCATCTATGACTGTAAACCTATGGGATCTGATGCCTCCTTTTGTGTGAACACATACATGCAAACAAAACACCCATGTAGAGGAAATGTATAAATTTTCTCCGTGTATGCCCAGGAATAAAAACAGCTAGATCCTAGGTTACTTTTATTTTTAATATTTTGAAATATCTCTAAAATGAATTCCACAGTAGTTGTATTCATCTGTACACCCAACCAACAATGAAGAAGTGTCCACTCTGTCTATATCCTCTCTGGCCTTTTTGGTCAGGCTTGTTGATGACAGTCATTCTGAGAGGGTTGAAGCGGTGTCTCAAATAGTATCAGTTTGCATTTCTCTAATGGCTGGAGATATTGGACACATTTTAAAAATAGTTATTGGCTATAACTTTCTTTCTTTATTTTTGTCTTAATTGTCTATTTCATTCTCTTGCCCATTTTTTTAACTTTTTTATTACAAGGCTGCTTCACATGTCAATCCCAGCTCCCTATCTCTCTCCCCCCCTTCTACCAATCCCCTACTCCCCTCCCCTAATCCCCACTTCTTTCCCCAGGGAGGGTGAGGCCCTCCAAGAGGGGTATCCATAGTCTCTCATTTCATCCAGGGCAGGGCCTAGGCCCTCCCCCATGAGTCCAGGCTGAGAGAGGATCTCTCATTGTGGGATGGGCACCCAAAGTCCATTTGTATGCCAGGAATAAATACTGATCTACTACCAAAGGCCCCATAGATTGCCTAGGCTTCCTCACTGACACCCACATTCAGGGGGTCTTGATCAGTCCCATGCTGGATTCCCAGCCATCATTCTGGGATTCAAGAGCTCCTCCTTGATCAGATCAGCAGTTTCTGTGGGTTCCACCAGCCAGGTCTTGACCCCTTAGCTCATCAGTCCTTCCTGTCTGTCACTGGGTTCCTTGAGTTCAGCTCAGTGTTTAGCTGTGAGTGTCTGCCTCCTCTCCCAGCTGAATGACAACTATTTGCAGGATCAGGCTACCACCATATATGATGTAGTTTATCCTTTAATCCAGAAATGATGGTTTCTCCTACAGCTACATATATGGATTCCAAATGAATGAGGTGTGTAGACAACTCAATCTCTTATAAATGACTACATTCAGGTGATCTAGAATCTGAGGTGTGGTGTGGTGATGCTCAGCTGTAATTCCAGCATTCCATGGGCTGGGATTGGAGGACAGAGCTTTCAACCTCAGCCTCAGCTGCGTAGCAAATCCTGACAGGAAAACGAGCTTCTTTCTATACAGTCTTGAGTTTTGATTGCCCAGAAGTCTTAATTCCTGAGAAATGAGTCAAACATAAGCAATAGATTAATATATAATATTAATATATTAATATATAGATACCTAATTAATTCTGATTTTCAGGTTAAAAGGGGTTCATCGAATTGTCTCTCCAAGTTTTATAACTACTAATAAAAGTATAAGATAGACCTCTGTAGCAGGATAAAGTAAAGAACACTAAGACACCTTAACAATCAAGTTTAGAGTCACTTTAGCAGATTAAAAAATCCTTGTAACTTAAACACTTGAGGTCTGAGTCCCATGAAAAAATTTTCAGAGATCATTTAAATCACCCAGCCTATTTGTCCAAAGACTCTGTCAGCGTAGTGCCAAGGAGAGTGACATCCCAGCATCATTGAAAAATGGCGCCAGGCAGCCATATTATAACAACTAGCTGAGATCTTCCTACTGTGGTGTGCAATCTCTACAAGAGAAGTAGAAAGTTAGCACTGGACCCAGGCATGATCTGTTCTCATCAGTGTCCTTTTTATGTCTGAATAAATGGACTGGAGAGATGGCCCAGTGGTTATATCACTTGTTGCTCCAGCAGAGAACTCAGGTTCAGTTCAGAGCATCCACACTAATGTCTCATAACCATCCTAACTCCAGATCCAGGGCATCCGTTGTCCTATTCTGAACTCCATGGGACCACACACACACACACACACACACACACACACACACACACACACACACACACACACACACGTTTTTAGGGCAAGGCTAGCCTGTCTCATCACCCAGAGCTGATCTCACACAGCACTAACCATCGAATGCTCTAAGCTTAGATCCTCGGCCACTCCAGTCATTTTCAGTCTTTTCCAGGGCTGCAGACCTGTGTGTCTTACTCCTGGATCTACTCCTGTAAATAATCATTCAAGATCTTATCAAGGTCATTGTTTATTATACAAAATCCTAGATCAGACTATTCCAGCAGATGATTCCACTGTATGATCAGAAGTCCCAGAGGCTATACTGAAACTCTGCCTAGTCAGATATGGCTCTGTGTCAAGTCTCACTAAGTACACTATAAATTTGTCTGTGTATTTGTAGTGCTAATACTGTTTCATGGTTAATTAATTGTCAGTATTATTTAAAATGGAAAGAAAGAAAGAAACCAAAGAAGCCAAAAGAGATCTTACCAGAATGCACAGGATGTAAAAGTTAAAAGGTAAAACGGTAAAAAGGGAGATACTTTTGGCACAGTGCAGTCACTGAGAACTTCCTGGGGTCACAGCCATCCTCAATCACAGCCTCAAACCCTCCTTTCTTTGTCTTTATTCTGGCACAGCTCATGTTAATGTGGTGACAGTCTCATTTCTACCAAACCAGAAAACATCCTTAAGTAAAGATGCCAATCAGAGCTGAGGTGCACAGGTTTAAATGCCTGTGAGGGCACTGGGCACTCTCCTCCATCCCTTCAAGGGCTGTGTCTACTGTGTCCTCCTCCAACCAAGCAGCCTCCCTGGGAAGATGTCACCTGTCCTGATTCTCCTGACCTTTCTTCTGCCACTTGGAGCTGGAGCAGGTGAGTGAACATCCCTGTCCCTGAGGTGACATCCCATAATACCTCTGTGGATGCTCTGCCCAGCTCTAGTCAGGAACTGTCCTGCACTGAACCAGGAGCTTTCTGAACCTCAGGTCCCACACATGAGAATCTGTCACTGGCTGGATTCTCAACAAGGGCCAAAGAATCAAGGTGTCCTCAGAAGACTGAGGGGACACTATATACTTTCTGCTCATTTTGTCACCTGGCCAGTGGATCATGAATTAGAGAAGGATGTTACAGAGAATGCAGATACTAAAACCTGCATTGTTAACTTTACTTGAGCCCCAGAAAGGTCAGCATTACTGACCAGCCTGCAATGAGGAAAGGCCACAAGCTCTAGAATAGTAGCATCACTTAGTATCCTCCACCCTCAGTCGGCTGAGGAGAGAGACTCAGGGTAATAAGAGGCCTGCACTGCACACTCTGCCGCGCCCACTGCGCAGCCTGTGTCCGAGAATGTGTGGAGGGTGTCGGGGATTGACAACCCATAGACCCGAAGGCTCCTCAAGAAGGCTCTCCCTCTTATTCCTATTCTGGCTGGATATTATATACCCTGACACCAGAGGTGGAGGTAGGCGTGTCAGAATAGGCGGTTAGCCTTTGGACAAGGTCGAGGTCAGGGCGGTTCCCGTGGGCCAGCCCTTTTCAGGAACTTATTGCCCGGGCATTATATTGTTCTTAGTAAACATGTTTTTAGTAAACATTATCTTACAGCTGCCTACTCCCAGGCTGATGGGGAAGTGGGTCTCTGCTCAAGGTCTGGTGTCCCCACACACTCCACTATCTCTGTAGTCTAATGTTTGGCCCCCACACTTCTGTTTGAGGTCCCCAGGAATTGCCAGCTTCGCCATCACACACTCCAATGGCACACAAACTGTATATCCCATGAACTCTGAACCACCATGCCTCCAGCTAAGTAGGGCTCATTCATTCATGCTGCCAAATCTTTACTGATACCTATGATGTGTTGGACGCCAGAATAGGAGAATTTTAGAAAATCCTACTTCACAGGTGATGTTGCAACGATAAAGGGCACACTTACTGGAAGTAAAAATAAGTATTTATTGTAGAAATTACTCACAAGAGACCAAACAAGTAACCCAGATGAGCCGAGTAGTTTTCAGCCACTGAACTGGAAGCTGAAAGCCGGAAAAAGAGACCGAGACTTCCGTTGTTCAGTCTTTGATACCTTCCTCCATAACGCCCCTAGCCATGCCCAAAAGTGGGCCTGCCTAGTGACGTAGTTCACCACCTATGTCCGTATACGTCTTTAGTCATGCCTAAAGTGGATGTGGTTATCAGTGTGATAAACTGCTCTTTTATTAAAACCTCATCTATATGCACCTCTAGTAAGTCACATGGTTAATGGCGGCATTGTTTTCCTCCTACAATTCCCCTTTTAGTCTAAAAAGGATATTTAACTTAAAACAACTAACTTGTGTCAATGAACAAAATGTATCAAACATCTATCCTATCTAAACCTAAACTTATCTGAAAGAAACACCCAAGTCTGAACACCTCCTTCCAATCCCAACTCTAAAATAATTGAAAACTAACACTAACAGGTGTAAACTATCCTATAATATCAATAG